TATAAAATAATAAATAATTTATATATATTTTTTATGACAAATTTTACTCTTTCTACACACATTTTACTTTTCAAAATCGCGATTCCGTATTCGTGACAGCTTAGTAAAATGTAAGTCCCACGACTATGGAGCATTTACTGTATTATCACAAAATGCGAATGCGATAGATATAGTCCGCTGAATACATGTATAGCAGCATTATACAAAATCTACATTCTTACAGAAAATATATAACATATTTACAAGCATATCTGACGTGCAAATACGCCAGCATAAGAGTGGATTTATACAGTGCCCCACAACTCGCGATCTTTATAATAAAGTCTTTACTGGATTAATAAAATGATATGATAGGCCAACGATTGCTATGTTGAGTCTGAATTGATATTTTTTCTGAAAATTCTGCAATATCACGACCCAATTATCGTTTATAAATACGTCGACGATATAAATATCTTTAAAGGGTACAAGATCCTCAGGATCAAATGTAATCATGTATCTATAATTGTACCTGAAAAATAGAAGAGTCTAAGACCGAAATATCTGTTGAAAAAAAGAATGATATTTGGACTTACACTTTTCTGCTCTACACAGGCACGAAATTTGTAAGATATTCGTACAAGGTTCGTACACTAGCTGTTTGATTCTTAAACTAATCCGAGAAAGTACAAAAGTATCTATTAAATGCAAAATGTCTTATCGAAAATTATAAATAATATATGTATCAATATATCACAATACGAAGATGCCTGAAGCTTCCTACAGTTTGCTATAAGTCTATGCCGTTGCGGGAATACATGCGAAACACACGTGTTCCCAACGTAAGTCTTTCGCTCTATATATGTATATTTATTAAAAAAAGATTTCGCTAAGAACGAAGTAGCTGCGATATTAATTTTGATGTAGGAATATAAAAAATTCCTATTTTAACGTAGCTTGGTAATTCATTTCATTACACGAACGACGAAAAACCGGGAAGCGGCGCTCTCGATCTGGCCATGTTATTCATGATGATCTGACCGCCATTCAGACTGACGACCGCGCTGCCTTCCGGCTCGGAGTCCGTGTATGATGAATAGTTCCGGACGGGTTTCTGCCGTTTCCACGATTGTCTTAACGAGTCATTGACATTTGCATAGTGATTCACGAAGGAATGTGGATCGGATTGCACACTCTCGTTCTCGCTCTCAGAACCCTGTGAAATAAGAATAAGATTAAGATTCATGTTATCAGAGATGCGCTTTGCCCTATATTTTACGAAGAATCACCTGAGAATCGGTGGAACTAATTTCGGAGGGCTTCTCCGTGACACTGCTATCGTCAGGATTCTCATCGTATCCCTTGAGGCTCTCTTCGTCGCTATGATAGGCGACCGACGCTGGAGAAGGCCTGGGAGGCGATTTGCCCAACATAGTGGGTGGCGGAGGATGCATTGCCTTCCGGGCCAATGTATTTCTTTTACCTAGAGTGCCGCTTGCCGCATTAATGGCACCGCCTCCACCCTGGCGTGATCTATACAATTCTAAGTCCGACTCTTGTCTGTCGTCCGCGTCCATCGCCATCGATTCCTCCAGAGTCTTTTGTGCCTCTTCTAGAGTATGATTATTAATATATAAATTATATGTAACAAATTGTAGATAAGCGATCTACTAACATAATCTGATTTTTCATATGAATCAATTTACATGCACATTAAACTCAACTTACGTTTGTATTTGTAGCTTTTACTCTTCACGCATAATACTGCTATAACCATAATGATAATTATAATTGATATAGCGGCTAAAGTAACCATGAACCAGGTCTGTCTGTAAAACGGCCTATGTTGTAGGTATGCGTATTCCAAATACAGTTTCGACGGTGTCAAAATCTGGTAAAAAATGACTCCGTTAGTAAAACATGTTAGCTTGCAATTATGTGTCTTCAAATAAATAAATATACATATGAAAGTATAACATCAAAATAACGAATATTCACAAAGTAAATTTAATGTCTAAATGAATAATCATTTCTTTTTAAGTAGACTTACCGTTTCGGTAGAATATGCTGGATAACTGATTCCGTAACGATTGTATGATATTACTCTGAACAAATACGACGTGGACGGCAGTAAATTTTGATAAGACACGGTATACTCCGTCAGTGGTCCATTGCTGGTGCGAACTATTGTCTGCCAGCGCGAATCGTCTATAATTACATACATAAATCGTGTTATAATCTTTGAAATAGCAAAGGAAAGTTTTTTCTTTTCGGAAAACACATTATTTTGTTTACATATATATATGTATAATCAAATCCTTTTCTACGGAATGTCCCATTTGTACAACATGATTTTTCAATGCCAGATTCTTCGATCAATTTGGAGTCGACTTTTCTTCGAAACTGTCATTCCAATATCATATATCTCTCAATTAAATAAATCGAATTTTGTAGCAAAAAATCGACTTTATTTAATTTATTTATTATAATAAAAAAATTACTTGTATGTTCTTTTCTAAACATTCTAAAATATAACTACCTCTAGCTCACATCACGTGAATTATAGAAATTATTATTATAGAATTTTGGTTGTAATTATAATATAATATTTGGCTTACGTTTTGGAACCCTGAAAAATATAACTTCGCTATTTATTTTTTCTTAATTTGCCAGAAATCCTCCACTTTCAATCACTTAAGTATTTAGCGTTAATATTTTTCTTAAGAAAAAGTTGATTTCAAATTAGTCAAAGAATGTTATAAAAAATAATGCGATAGAAATAAGACATTATGTATAATAAATAAGTAGGAGCTCGTATTAGTCTGGTGACTATTTTAACACTTTGAGTGCCGACCATTTTCTGTGTGAAATGTTTTGAAGAGTAACATTGGTATTCTTTTGCTATTATACGACATATGGGAAATACCGTATGCGCACACATCTGCACGCCAAAATGTTAAAAACGAGATTAATTGCAGGGACGGGGGGTTAAATAACAAAAACTGTGGCGTTACCAATGGACAGTACAACAAATCACACTAGTATAATCAATCATTTCTTTGTCAGAATGATATAGACAATCATGTTATAGCGCTACATGAAGTTAATATATTTTGAGTAAAATCCTGCTTAAACATATAAAATGGGTTTCTGGCGATGTCATGCTATGACATTATCATGCAAATTATTGGAATTTCCAAATGACCACGGTACGTGGTACACATAGTAGTATATACAACGGACTGTCAAAAGCGATATTATTACGCTAACAGGGATCTCACTATCAAAACCATCTAAATGCAATGACTGATGCTCAGCATAGTTACGTGTGTTGACACTTACAATGCTGCCATTCTTCCATCGCTATACAGTTATAAAAAAGACGGTATTAGTGTTAGCAGAACCGGTAGTCGAGTTTGACGCAAATGTAAAATAAT